TATTAATATATATATACATAATTAAGGATAAATTTTAAATAAAAAGAGTTAATTATAAAAAAAATTATATTGTAAACTTATAAAATATAATATTATGATTATAATACTTAAAAAATAAAATAATGATAATTTTTTATATATTTTTTAATATAATTTTTATGTATTATTAATTAAATAAATATAATTAACATTATAAATACTAAATAATAAAAAAAATTAATTATTTAAATAATACATAAATTTGTATTAAAAAAAATATTCCACATCATTTTTAAAAAGTTAGGATAAATTAGTTCTCTTAGGTGTCAAATTCTTATTGGTTGAATTACATATACTGGTGACGTGGGTAAGTCGTCTGTTTTCGCGGCCGTGACGTGGAATGAGAGTATATGAGGGAGGGGCCGCAACCGGGAAGGAAAAGACGACATCAAATTGGGGAGAAGCATCCGGAAATCTCTTTCTTGTTCTAAGTAACCCATTTCGATTGTGCTTTTCTTTGAGGATTAAGGGCTCTGTACCTTTCGATTCCGATCGGTAATTTAACGAGACGGAGATGGACAGCAGATGGGGAGGAGCAAGGAGCGTGTCTCGGGGTATGCTGCCGCTGCTGGCGCTTCACGCGGCCAGCGAGTACTACAGGCTGCCGTGGAAGCCCCCTGTCACCGCCGGTCTACTCGCCGTCAACACTCTCGTCTATCTCAGACCTGCTTTTCTCGATTCCATCCTTCCGTCTATTGATGAAGTCTTGTTCAATCCCCACCTCATTCTCAAGGTAATCTAATATAATCTATCCATTTCTTCTCCTTTCTCTTCCTATTGTTGTTTTCGATGCTTTAATTTCGTCAATTTTGGGTTTCCTGCAATCAATTTGGGTCGCTTGTTTCATCCAATTTGGTTCCGCTACTCGAATTCTCTGTTCTCTTTCTTGGCTGGGTGTTTGGTTGGAGGAGCTAGGAAGCAATTTCCACTCGATTCATTTGTATTCGTATTTTGTTGTCATCTATTTCATGTTGAACACTTTTTAGTTATTTTACAAGTTATTAAAGGTCATTTCCATTTTACATTTTTGCTTAGACATGCAGAGCATAATTACTAATATATTTCAGTTAATGACAAACATTAAACTATGGAGTCTGGGTTATGAATCTTGAGTTTTCTGTATGAGTATCTTTTTGATTGATCCTTTGGAAGTTTATACCTTTCTTATGCTCTCTTCTAACCCCAAAGAATTTGTATGGTTTACAGTTTACTTGACTTGTTTAGGTAAATTTTCTTTGCTTTCATATTATGTTTTCTAATGACACAACCCCCTTTGCTTTTCTTTCCTAGAGAGCATGGATTAGATCCGCGGATCCAGAACTTAGAAAAGATCTTGCCTTTTCCTTTTGTATGTACAAATTGCCCCAAATGCAGCATACTTACATTGCATAGCCCTTAAATGTCCAGAGTACTAGGCTATATTTTCGTATTTCATGATATACATCTGCATACTGCATTTGATTTTAGATTATATATGGAGGTGCTTATAATTCCACTTCTTAATTATTTTTTTTTCTGTGTTTTGATTTCACTTACAGCATAAAGACTTGAAACGCTTCTTCTTGTCACCATTCTACCATTTGGGTGAATCTCACCTGGTCTACAACATGATGTCACTTTTATGGAAGGGGATACAATTGGAGACTTCAATGGGAAGCACTGAATTTGCATCTATGGTTGCTACACTCCTTGCCATGTCTCAGGGCATTACACTGCTATTAGCCAAATCCCTCTACTTGTTTTTTGATTATGAGAGAGCTTATTACTCCGAATATGCTGCTGGATTTTCTGGTGTCCTCTTTGCCATGAAAGTTGTGCTTAATTCTCAGTCAGAAAACTATACTAACGTGCATGGACTGATAGTACCATCTCGTCATGCTGCGTGGGCAGAATTGATTCTCATTCAGATGTTTGTACCTGGTGTCTCATTTCTCGGCCACTTGGGTGGTATTCTTGCTGGGATTCTTTATTTGAGGCTGAAGCGTTTGTATGCAGGCGTAGATCCACTTACTGTGATTATCAGAGGAGTAACTGGTGCTTTAAGCTGGCCCTTAAGGCTCATAAAACAAATAATTCCATTGAGGCGAAGGAGAATCTCTGGTCGGGGAACTGTTGGGGGGAATGGGAATTACACAGGAAGGACAATGTCTTACGTATGGAGATGTCAAGCATGTACATATGATAATCCTGGTTGGTTAAACGTTTGTGAGATGTGTGGAACAAGTCGTGGTGACAATGGATGGCCATCGCGTCAAGTGATTCATCGTTCTCCTGATCTCTCTGCGGAAGAACTACGCCGTCGAAGAATTGAAAGATTTGGTTAACAATCTAGTAATCTACAGCCAGACGAGGGAAACAGCAAAACATACTGCTTCATGAGGTTTCTTAAATTAACCAAATATAGAAATGGTGGTTAGATTTTACTTGTATTTTCATTTCAGGACGCCTATAAATTATCATGCTATTTTGAACCAATTGACTCGAGTATGAGGGATTAGGCTATGCGTGACAAGTTCGGGCGCCAAATGTGTCGACTCAGTGTCCCTGTAAAAGTTAATTCTTTTTAGTTTTAATTACTTAATCATTTTTTTTATCTCTAATTGCATAATGAAAGTTAATTTTCTCCCATTACTTTATTTTTTTTATTCATATGTCATGTGATTTGAATTTAAAAGTTTTTGTTTTTATTAAAAAAATATTATTATTGAATTATTTATATCATTAATAAATTAATGTTAATTTTTGTATTTTATTAATTTATATTTGATTGATTAGAAAATAATGTAGAGTCTAATTGACTAAATATTGGCAAAGGAACAACATGAAGGCTTGATATCTAAGAAGTCCTAGATACAAATGTAGGCAATGACAATCCTCATCCCCTCTTATAATTGCCCTAATTCAAAAATATTAACAATAGATGAGGTTAAGTGAACCAAGCAATCTAATGAGGGTTATAAGGGAAAAAGTATGAAAGTTCAGGTGCTTCAATAAGAAAGCTCCCCTTTTTTTTTTTCCTCAATCCAGGGTCGAACGAACTGTCTTACTCTGGCGACCATATTATCTTGTTTCTTCTTCTTGGTTTCGCTTGATATTTTCAGTAAAGCGAAATGTTGGCCAAAGTTCCATCTTTTCCATTTTCATTTCCTTCTCCAACTCCATGGAAGCGACCCTGTGTCCTTCATTCTCACGGTTGCAATTTGGTGGTGGTCAGGGCTGGTTATACGCGTACGCCCCTGGAAACAGCCGGTGCTTATCAATTGGTTGACGATGAGACTGGAGAAAAGGTAATTGTTTGGGGCGGAGATGACCCCGGCGATGACGTTATCCCTCCCAAGCACCTTCTCCACCCTTCCAATTGGAAACCCACTCGTTCTTCACAGTCACGGTCACAGTCTCCAGGTACATCCTTTTCCCTCCTCTCTTATTTCGCTTATTTGGGTTCTTTTATTTTTCTGATGTCTGTCTTTTATGTGTTTTGCAATTCCTGGATTGTAGGCACTGGAAAATACTTCCAATTCTTAGCTTTTGCTTTGCTTTCATTGTTCAAATTAATGCTGAGTGATATTCGATTTGATATTGTATGGCTAAGTTGTCAAATTGCATTTCCTCATATGTTCTCCTCAACCAGGAAGAGCAGCAGCTGTTGGTTTTGAAAGACTTAAGGCAGATAAAGTTAAAGCCCTTGTCAAGAAGTCATCTCGGATGAAGAAAGAAGGCAGTAAACTCACCAACTTCGAGGATGAACAAGTTCCACAGAACCATGCAAGAAGAGTTTCAAGGGCCGCCCCTTCAAATGAATACAGAATTTCTTCCCAAGCAACTAAGACGGAAGACTACATAGAGGAGGACTCTGATTTATCAGTGGAAAGTGGTGTTGAACCTATCTCTGAGCTTCAGATTGCGTCCCATAAAGCTCAAAAGTTGGACTTCAGAAACAGTGAATCAGAGGAACGGGTTTCAAAAGGCTCTGCTGCTCAACTAAGAGGCTGGGGCGTTGGAGAGTCCAGTTATAATCCCAAATCCAATTCAATGGACCTTCTAAAGCAACAGCGTAAAGGGTCTGTTGACAGTGACTTCTTTAGTAGGAAATCCTTTAGAGATTTAGGGTGCTCTGAGTATATGATTGAGTCTTTAAAAGCTCAACAGTTCCTGCGCCCTTCACGTATTCAGGTATAAAAATGCTTTGCTTTGGCAGCTGATTGAAAAAATTTTTAAATAAAATTCCTTCCTATAGTATTTAGTTTATTTGGTCATAGATGATTGGCTATAGATATTTCTGAATGTATCATATCAGCACAAGTCCATCTATCATTACACCTTACCAAAAAGCTATTTTGTTTTATTTAAAATATATTATAGTGTAGATGATCGAAATCCGGGGTAGTGCAGGCACTAGCTTTTGCACCTGTTAATGAGGGAAAGACTTGTATTATAGCTGATCAAAGTGGCTCTGGGAAGACATTGGCATATCTTATACCTGTGATTCAGCGGCTTAGGGAAGAAGAACTACAAGGGCTTAGCAAGTCATCATCAGGAAGCCCTCGAGTAATAATAATGGTACCAACTGCTGAGCTTGCCTCTCAGGTTAGTTCCTATTGTCCTTGACGGAAGTGAAATCCACTAGCTTTGTTTTTTCATGGTTTTCATGGTATTTTTCTGTAGTCATCTGCTCGTAGATTTATGGTGCAGTCCAAAGTTGTTAAGCCTTATAAAGTTTGCTAAGTGTCATTAAAATTCATAATGCAGTAAGATATATACAACATACATAATTGCAGAATAAACCTTGTTTACTTGTAAGATCAGTTAGTTTGGATGTACGATCTCACTTGTGTCCCTCTAGATGTAGTATATTAGTTTCTTAATGCAGTGAACTTTTGCAGGTCTTAAGTAATTGCCGATCGATGTCAAAGTTAGGGGTTCCATTCCGGTCTATGGTTGTGACAGGTGGTTTTCGACAAAAAACTCAACTGGAAAATCTGGAGCAGGGCATTGATGTTTTAATAGCAACACCAGGTCGTTTTATGTTCCTCATCAAAGAAGGTTTCCTGCAATTGACAAATCTTAGGTGGTAAGTTGATTTCCTTATTGGAATCTCCCTTGTGTCTATACTGTGGCAATTCACACATTCCTTATTAGTTGATCTCGTCCTTTCACTTTTCCTCGGATGATCAAGGAAACCAAGGTTGCAAGCCTGCAACTGTCCTTTTCCTTAAAATGCTGAGGAAGTACTAAGAACTGGTTTACAAATATTGCCTTTTTAAAGTTCAAGAGCTGGTTATGTCTATGACTATGTTCGCTTGTGAAATATTCACAAGCTCCACACTTGACATGGTTGGAGCTTGTTCTGTGCTAAACAATCTATGAAGTTAATTCTTTGATGTCATTATATTGTCATTCATGTTCATGAAAGATCAAACCACTCTTTATTATTTTCTTAGGGATAGTTGTTTAAATATTAGATGGATGGGTTAAACTTTTTGGTGTAACAATTAATAATATTTATTGATTTGCATATGTAGAATTTATTTTTCTATTGTACAACATGATACATCTGTGAGAGAAAGAAGGGACACCAAGAAATTGAAAAAAGTGTCGCTATATGTTTCTTTGTATCAAAATACATGGTTTACAGAATACCTTTGTTGCAGTGCTGTATTGGATGAAGTGGATATACTCTGTAATGATGAGGATTTTGAAGTAGCATTGAAAAGCTTGATAACTTCTTCACCTGTCGCAGCACAATATCTTTTTGTGACTGCAACTTTACCAGTAGACATATACAACAAGCTAGTTGAAGTTTTTCCTGATTGTGAAGTGATCATGGGACCTGGAATGCATCGTACGAGCTCTGGCCTTGAAGAGGTTTGATTCTTTCTCTTTTTCTATTTTTTAATATTAACATGTTTCATAGATGCATAAATCTCATGTAACTAGAACTTCAAGATTTTTAGTCTGTCTTTTTTTTTACTGCAGTAAGGTTCTTTCTGCTTTTCTTTTCACACAATTTTTTTTCCAACAGTTTAAACACCACCCTGTCCCCCTCACTGATTTTTGTCCCTAAAGTGGACCTCAAGAGCTGTTGCATGATAGAAATGTTACTTCTCCACTAGAATTAGCATTTGTGATGAATGTTTTAATTACAAATTATTTGGATTCTGTTGGTCATTGATCAATATGCAATACTATAGTAATCTGTTACATTGTACATATTATGACAATTATCATGCATTTGTTTCCTACATCTATTATATGTACAAATCATGACAATTATCATAATCGCCTAACAATCATCAATATTCATAAACTGTTTAATTTATTGTTCATTTTATAGTCACTCTAAATGTTCTTCTAATGAGTTGGCATGTTATGGAGATAGTTCTTTTTGTGATAATTAAGAATCTGGCAATAGATAAAGAGTTGGCAACATTTAAGGATTTTATGTGCTGGGCAACCTCCTAATCCTTGACGTACTGATTAAAACTATGAGTATTGAAGACCTTTTCTGCTGTCTGAACTCTGAACACGGTTTGTGCCACTGCCACATGAAGTTTGAATATGGTGAATATTAACTGCCTGCATTGTATGTTCAGTTTCTGGTAGATTGCAGTGGAGAAGGGGATGAAAAAACTCCAGACACAGCATTTATGAACAAGAAAAACGCACTTCTTAAGCTGGTAGAAGAGAGCCTGGTTCACAAAACCATTGTTTTCTGTAACAAGGTAGGTTTGAGAGAATAGGTTTGTATTGTTTCCTTGAGAAGTCTTCTTAAAAGGATTTTTACCATTTTTCTTTCTGTATTTGCAGATTGAGACCTGCAGAAAAGTTGAGAATGCATTGAAACGGTTTGATAGAAAAGGAACTCGTGTACGAGTTCTACCATTCCATGCTGCTCTGGAGCAAGAAGTGCGCCTTTCAAATATGAAAGAGTTCACTAATTCTCAGCGTGGAGAGGAATCTCTCTTTCTGGTTTGCACTGATAGGTAGTGATGTCTATGCATTTGTTTCTTCCCCTTCATCATCTGTATTCATATGCGAAACATACTCAGTTTACATTTCCTTGTTAATGAAAATGAGATGACACCATTTGATGCGGTTACTAAAACACTTTTAAAATTTATGGCAGAGCATCTCGGGGAATCGACTTTGTTGGTGTGGGTCATGTTGTTCTCTTTGACTTCCCTCGTGAACCGAGTGAATATGTGCGTAGAGTTGGAAGAACTGCCAGAGGAGCAGGAGGAAAGGGCAAGGCATTTGTATTTGCAGTTGGCAAGCAGGTTTCCCTTGCAAGCAAGATAATGGAAAGAAACCGAAAAGGTCGTCCCTTGCATGATGTGCCATCTGCTTATGAACTGCCGAGCTAAAACCGGGAAAAAGGGCAAGACTTTGCATTCAAGAACTAGTAAAGCAGAAGGTTTATGTAAGAACACAGGTGCAATATAGCAAGAAAAGTCAGCTTTTAACTTGCTAGAGCTCAACTTTGAGCGAAAATGCAAAGCTAAAAAGCTTCCATGGCAAATCCTACTTGTTGGGGTCCTTTTACGCATGCCACAGTGAAAGGGAGTTGTAAACTAATACCACAGCGGATCCATGATACTCCCGTATCAAAGGAGAAACTAAATAAATTGAAATTTTGAAAGTCCAATTATTTAACTCATTATCTGCTTTCATTAAAAAAAAGACAAAAAACAAAAAAAAGAAGCACCGAAAAAAAAAAAAAAGGTTAGACCCTTATTTTGGTCCCTGAATTATTGTACGGACTTTTGATTCGGTCCCTGAACTAAAGAAATTTTTAATTTGATCTTTAAATTATTGTACGGACCTATTGGTTACTAAACTATTGTATGAACCCCTGAATTGGTGCCTAAACTATTATATGAACCCTCGAGTTAGTCCCTAAACTATTATATAGATCCTTAATTTGGTTCTACTGTTTACCAATTTAACCCCAACTTGATTTTTATGTTAAATAATAGCTCAGGACCAAATTGAAACGAAATTGTAAACAATAAGGACCGAATTGGAGGTCCGTACAATAGTTTAAGGATCAATTTAGGCTAAATTATAAACAATGGGACCAAATTGGGGGTTCCTATAATAGTTTAGGGACCAAATTATGGATTTCTTTAGTTTAAAGACCAAATCGAGAGTCCATACAATAGTTCAAGGATCAAAATGAAAATTTAACCAAAAAAAGAAACAAACAAAACAACTCATTATATATATGTTATATTCCTAATAGAAACATTTTTTTAATATGAATTGTATTTTTTTACGTAGTTTTAGTATTAAAATTATTATAATATTCTTAATAAAATTACACTATATATTTATTTATTAATATTATTTTGATAATTTTAATATTGAAACAGCAAAATATATATATATATATAGTTAATGCTAAAAAGTTAAAAACACCTTCTTCAGTTCCCCCAATATTGGACACTGTTTGGTTATGGAGTTAGTTGTGTCGCACCCAAACTATGGAGGAAACAGAAAAAACTGAGGACAGGATAAGATGGATGCCAATTCGCTCCAACACGGCGTCGGCGTGAGGATAAAGGGGGAGGATAAAGATGTTGGAAGCGTACAGAAAAAATGGCTATGGCAGCCCCAACAACGACTACAAGATTAAAGTTACCTGGTGTTGCTCTTAACAGTAAACGGTCTACGTTTTTAGGAGGTGGGGTTCAACAATTGTCGCCGAATGTGGGGCGCCCGTCGCAATCTTCCCCGTCTCTCCTCCTCAATGTCGAAGCTAAGGCTCGTACCAAGAGAGAAAGGCGGCAAGCCCGCCATTCTCGCATCAGAAAGAAGGTTCCTTTCTGCCTGTTGCTCCTTTCTATTTCCTTATTCTTGTTAAAAGCTTATGCTTGTGTTATGGCAAAGGGAAATGGAAATCAGTTCCCTTCTTCAATTTCACTGCTTTCTTCAAAATTTTGAGTATTTGATGCATATATTATCTGCATGTTCTTTCGTTAGCTATCTCTATCTTTTCTGGTTAGCAGTTTTCTGATGGGATATGGGCATATGATTGAATTATATGTCAAATTTGTGTGCTTAATTCAAAGTGAATTCTTAGGAGCTTTTGCCCCATTTTAGATGTATTTTCCTTTACGTTAAAATTAATTTGGCATTTGTTAAAATTTGAGTGTAATTGATATTATTTGGATAATTTTTCCTGCTTGTTTTTGGGGCTGGTTGCGGATATGCGTTTGAGTTAAGGTGTGTTTTACACGAAAGGAATGATTTTAAGAAGCTGAGTTAGAGGAGAGGAGAAGGAAGCCTGGTAGAATGGCAGTGGTGTATACGACTCAATATTAGATTAGAGTGTTGTAATTTTTGACATGAGTTCTTGTCAGATATTTGTTGTAGATTTGGATCATTGGTCTTAACCAGTTGGAGACTCTAATTGGAAATTTGGAATACCTGATGGGAGTTTTTTAGAGCTTGCTTTTAGCCTATTACCAGTAACAATATTTCCACTGCATTGTTCCTGCCTAGGACCGGCTAATGGGCAAGAAGCCAAGGCACTCCTAGTGTGATCGGGAGGAAACTGTTATATCAGAACTACAGATATCTCTATACATTCAAAACATTAGATTGATTTCTAGGCAGCAAATCTAGATTTCATGTTAGAGCAAAATTTCCTTTGTTACCTTAAAACACTACAAAAGCTTCTGACTTTCTATTGATAGAATCAATCATGTTTATGACAGTGAAACTTGTTTTGCCGTATCAGCTTTGCAATTATTGCGGTATGAAAAAGGTTCAATAAATTCTTTTTGGATATTTATATTTCTGTTTCCATTAGCAAAGTTCTTTTAACTATGACATTAATATTTTCATGATGAAATTTGTTGGTTTACCTTTTTCATTTACTACTTTCCCAGGTAGGAACACCAGAAAGGCCAAGGCTGTGTATCTTCCTCTCTAACAAGCATCTCCATGTACAAGTGATTGATGATACCAAGATGCACACGCTTGCTTCAGCTTCAACAATGCAGAAACCTATGTCTGAAGAGTTCAACTACACTTCTGGTCCCACCGTTGTAAGTTTGTAGTTAAAAATCAAGGGTCTGGTGACCTAGTCCAATTTTTCACTACTTAACTGTTGTAGTATTTGGTCTGAAATGATAAT